CAGGACCAGTGGTGAGTATGGCGATACCAGAAAGGTTGGGTAGAAAGGGGGAACTGATTACAAGGATCTACATATAACCCCCTCCCTGGGGGATGGACAACAGAAAAGTGGGTGAAGGGAGACGTCGAACAGTGTAAGATATGACAAAATAATGATTTGTGAATTATCCAGGGTTCATAAGGAAGGGGAAAAATGAGGCGCTAATTCCAAAGGCTCAAGTAGAAAGCAAATGTTTTGAGAATGATGATGACAACAGATGTACAAATGTGCTTGACACAATGGATGGATATGTGGATTGTGGTCTGAATTGTACGAGCCCCCAGTGAGATGATTTTTAAAAGCTCCACCAACAGATGAAAACCTTCAGATTAAAGTTCTCAAATGAGAGGATCTGATCAGCTCCTGTAAAGTCATGATCCAAGCAGTGGCATCTCCTCCGAAAGAGAACGCATGAATGGGCAACAAGCCGGGTGGGTTTACTTCAAGATTGGCACTCCAGTTATCAGTGAGGGAGGCAAAGAAAGAACAGGCCCACCACCACTCCTGTGGTACCCAGACACAGACCAGTGACACCAAGCGTTAACTATTCCTTTATTAGGCAGTGAGGGGTGGGGGCTGTACAACGCAAGGGCTGATCTTCAACTACACAGAGGTTGTAACCCGAAGCCATAGTACAAAAATAGCCTAAAAATACTCCTATTTGGCCACGGGGCTGGGCCAGGGGAGTGCCCGAAGGAAGGGTTCTCCACCAGGCAGCTCCTTCCCTCTGTGCCCTCCCCTATTTACAGGGAAGCAGAGTGGAATGTAGGCTTCTTCCCCAAGCCCTAGGTTCTGACCAGCCACTCCTCCGTTCCCAATGGGAGGTGGCCCAGGGGGGCAGCAGGGGAGGGCCCCAGGAGTGGGATTTGCAGACCGAAAGGGCCCTTCCCCCAGCAAGTTACAGAGCAAATCACATCTGGAATGCAGTGAAGTGAAGGAGATGGGGTGGGGGGGGAGGCTCCCAAGTCTCACCCGACCCCTGGCCCCGAAGGGTGCGCCCAAGGGTGTCTACTTGGTACATACCGGGGCGTGTACTTGGTACACGGGCTCCCAGTTTGCCTGTGCACTGAGTACACAGGATCCGGCTTGGCCAAATGGGCCCACAGACTCAGCCCCACGGGGGCACTGGGGGTTCACAGGGAGGGGGAGTGTCTCCATAGATATATTTTGTAAAAAATAATAATAATAATAAGTTTGCTTAAATGAATGTTTTCTATACAAAATGTAAAAAAAAAGAAAAGAAAAGAGAGACAATAATAATTCACTCATGTAGGAGTGTACGGAACAAGAGGCTGGAGGAGGGAGGGAGGGAGGGAGGAATGAGAAAAGGGAGGCAAGAGGACATCCCAGACTCACCCCAAGACTGGGAGGGCAGGGCGGTCAGGCCCCACCCATTATAAATAAAGGAGGACTGAGACCCTGACCGGGTGGCCTGCTTCGGTCACCAGCAAGGTGGGGGGGGGGGTGGGGTCAAAGAGGAGAGAAGGAACAGGACTGAAGGAGAAGAGAGTGCCTCTCAGGCTCCCCAAGATCCAGAAACGGAGAAGGGGCTCAGGCCAGCACCTGCCTCTTGGGGGGACCCTCGGGGTGGGGCCCCAGCTGGGTCTGGGTCTGGGTGAGAGGGCTGGGGACGGTCAGGGGAAGGGTCTGGGCAGGCAGTGTCCCCACAGCCGCCCCAGTGGCTGTGGCTGGACTGGGTGTGGAATCAGACCAGTCCGACAGGGAGGGGGGTGATGGGCTGGCCCAATGCTCCGGGGACTCCGGGGAGGGGGTCAGGTAAGGGTGCTCACTGGGGACCCGCAGGAAGTGAGCCTTGTGGGGGCTGCTGTGGGGCCCAGCTCCCGAGTACTCCTCACCATGTCCCGGGGCGGCAAGGTATGGTGGGGGCCGCTCCTGGGGGGAGACAGGGGTCCCGGGGTTCAGCAGCTGGGGGCCCGGGGCCAGGGGCAGCAGGAAGGATGGGCCCGGTTGGGCTGGTGGGGGTAGGCGGGCCCAGTCAAGGGGCACAGCCACTGGGTTCAGCAGACCCAGGCTGAGCACACAGCCCCCTGATGGCTGGCGGCCCAGACTCACCCGCCCAGCAGCCCCAAGCTGTGCCAGAGAGACAGCCGTGGCAGTGGCAGCCGCGTAGGGCCCCTCAAGAGAGAAGCCACCAGGGGAAGTAGGGGGCCCTCCAAAGGGCCGAGGGGAGTCCAGCGAGTCCACAGGCGAGAGGGTGACCGAGCTGTCTGCCAGTGGCCCTGGGCAGGCCAGCGTCAGCTTCCTGCCCCGACCCCGGGCCCCCTGCGGCCCCAGCCCTGCCTTCCCAGGGGGTCTCCGGCTCTTCTTGCCCCCAGAGGGTGCTGCCTTGAGGCCCGGGAGGAAGGCTCCAGGCGGGCAGAGCAGGGGGCCCAGACCGTGGGGGCCAGGCGGGCTGCGGGGCCCACTGGGCTGGTCCAGCAGCCGCACGATGTCTTGGTGCAGCCGCTCCTGAGCCACGTCTCTGGGCAGCCGGTCCAGGTGGTCTGTGATCTCACGGTTGGCAAAGTGGTCGAGCAGCAGCTTAGCAGCCTCAAAGCTGCCCTCACGGGCTGCCAAGAACAGGGGCGTCTCCTCCTGGGGGTGGGGGCCAGAACCCACAAGCATCAGGACCACGAGAGCCATATTCCAGCTCCTGGCTACCCTCAGCCAAACCCCTGGTGTTCACTGAGGGTTCACACTCTCGAGTTTGACGGGCCTGGGTTCAAATCCTGGGAGGACCTGGGTGAGTTCGTTCCTTTATACCAGGGGTCCTCAAACTACGGCCGCGGGCCACATGCGGCCCGCCGAGGACGTTTATCCAGCCTGCGGGGTGTTTTGCCCCGTTTTGTTTTTTACTTCCAAATAAGATATGTGCAGTGTGCATAGGAATTTGTTCATAATTTTTTTTTAAGCTATAGTCCTGCCCTCCAATGGGTCTGAGGGAGAGTGAACTGGCCCCCTGTTTAAAAAGTTTGAGGACCCCTGCTTTATACCATGTTTATGGTGCCTGAGGGTCAAAGCCGAGCAAGAGCCAAGCAAGAATATCAGGCATGGTGTCCGGGAGGAACAAAAAGAAAAAGGAACTAAATTCCCTGCCATCGAGTCAATTCCAAGTCCTGTTAGAGAGGAGAGCAGCTCCCTAGGCTTGTCTAGGCTATCATCCTTATGGAAATCGATTACCAAGCCTTTCTTCTGTGGTTCAAACTACCAACCTTGGATTAGTAATTGACTGCACACCAGGGCGCAACGCAGGAACCTTGTGTGATCATCGCAGGGACCTCTGACTGCGCATCCCATAAAGCACCTGACAAATGCGCTCCAACTCACCAGGGCCTCGGAATAGGCCACGCAGTGGGCACTGCTGTGTGCCCACTTCACAGGTAAGAAAAGGGAGGGTCGGAGAAGTTAGTGAGCGTGCCCTCTGTCGCACAGCAATGGCCCCAGACTTCCTCCTCTGCTCCCTGGTTGTCGCTTCTGGGCCCCAAGTCCCCCCCTGACTGCTGGGCTCAGACAGGGTGAATGTTCCTATTGCCCTGCCCTGCCTGTGCAGTTACCACCTGCAGGGGGGAGGCAGGTCTTAGTTCCCCAGAGAGCGGAGGTCCAGGCTCACCTTGCTGTCCTGCATGTCCTTGTTGGCTCCATTTTTGAGCAGGGCTAGGGTGGCCTCCACATTGTTGACAGCAGCAGCCCAGTGTAAGGCTGACTTCCCTGGAGAGAGAGGGGAGAGGAGGAAAGGCAGGCTCAGGCCCCGGCTCACGTCCCCGGGCCCAGAGGAGGCGACATGGAGAAGGGTGGGGGCGGATGGTCACAGGCAACAGAACCCCTGCATCTGGAACATGCATGTGCACACATGAGGGAGATGCCTCCGTTCCATGGAGGTGTGTGTCTGTGGACACACGTGGTCTTGACTCTCGGTACACAGGGGACTGCATGTGCATAGCTGCGACCGTGGACCTGACTCCAGCACTGGGGGCTGCAGGTGCGTGTGCATGCACTCGCGTGCGCACAACTCCAGACCTGACCAGAGGGACGGAGCGTCTCTCCCTTGGGTGTAACGTGAGCTGTGCCATCCAACACGGGAGCCACTCATCACTGGTGACTCCTTCAATGCAAATGAGTCCAAAGACAATGAAAAGTCCCGTTGTTCTGCCACTTGCCCCGTTCCCACCCCCGAGAGCAGCTCTGCGTGTGACCCCGCTGCCACTGACGCGACTCGGACCCACGTGATGCTCCACGGTCTTCCTAAGACCGAAAGGCTGTGTGGGAGCACAGACGGTCTCAGCTTCCTCCTGAGGAGTGCCTGGTGGGCTTGAACTGTTGACCTTGTGGTGCCCAGTCCACCGCTTACCCAGCAGCGCCACCAGGGCTCCTTTGGAAGACCCAGCCCATTGCCACCACTGCAGAAAGTCCTACTATGCAGCGCTGCTCTCGGGCCGTGGTTCTCAAACAGGGGTGATTTTATTCCCCAGCCAGGTGCCAGGTGGGGGCTGGAGACCTTTTGGTCGTCACACCTGGCAGAACGGTGCCGTTGGCCTCAAGCAGGTCAAGGTCAGAGAAGCAGCTCAACCCCTGACTGACAGTGCCCAGGACAGCTCCCATCACAGAGACTGGTGTGTGTGTGTGTGTGTGTGTGTGTGTGTGGTGGCCGTGAACCTGCACACAGCCACCTCCAGAGATGCCCTCCCAGTGCCCTGCAGCTCTTAGAGGTGCCATGAAGTCAGCTCCCACTCAGAACTACCCAAGTACAACAGGACAAAACGCTGCCCAGTTGGCATCGAGCCCCTCCTGACCCATGCCACCCCATGTGTGACGGACCAC